TCATTGTTTACAGCATATTTCAGGCTAGATTGTGGGACAGCCCAATGGCCTATATAATGTCATGGCTTGCTATCATAGATTTATTGTGTAACTGACTCTCTGACCCAGGATAAAGAGCATTGCATTCTCTCTGTGAAAATAAATACTTGATCAAAATTTATAGACCATTAGAATATTTTCTTATCATGATCTTGGGTTTCTGTCTTAGAGAATAAATAAGAGCTGCAGTATGTTCTCTTATTGGCATCTGAATGTTAGTACAGGGGACATAATGGTGTCAGGAGAAAATAATTTGCAACTGATCCACTGAGATGGATCATTCTAATTAATATCATCTTTGAGACTGCCAATTTGCAGTTTTACAAGGGGATGGAAATGTGTGTTGATTTGAATTCACTGCAAAAATTAAATTTCATTTTTCATAGGTACTATTAATTCCATCTTTCAAATTGGATTCCTCCTGTTTATGAGACTAGAATCAGATTATAGGTTCATATAAGTTAATCTTTTGGGCACTGCTCTTTGGTTTTTTTTGGTTTTTTTAGTCACAAATCACCTTTGGCCTAGGACATGCTTGTTTTCCTGGTGTATAGTCATACGGCTTTCTCTTCTGGTGTAGTCTGTCCCTGAGATGCCACATGTCATTTTCAAAATTTTAATTTCAAATTAACTAATGTATTTTATGTTTGCCAAATTCTTTGTGCAGAAAAAACTATTTTCTCCATACTTCTTCACATGGTCAGAGGCAGTGTGATCACCACACTTGGGGAAAAGGGAGAATTGTGTCCATTTCAATGGATGGATATCACAGAGAAGGAGAAAAGGGAAGGGGATTCATAGTGTTGCTATCTTTCCTAGCCTCTGCAGTTTGCTGGTGCCACTCTCTCCTGCATTCTCTACCTTGCTGTCCCTTGACAAGTAAATATTTAGGCTTAACAGGGAGGTGGAGCTCTATATGGAAGCGTTTGGGGAAAATGGAAATTGTGATAGTATTGGCTTCTTGGCCTTTCGTCCTATCCTAAATCTTCTAAGTAGGTTCTCTTCCCTGTCTGCTGTCTTAAATCTATTTTATTCCTCATCTTTGTTTATTGTGCAATTTGCTCCACCCTCATCTCCATTCACTTTAGTTTTTCAAATGTATCCAACCTGAAACCTAGGAAGTTAGAGTGCTGTGTTAGTCTTGTGAGTGACACAAGTCTAACATAGTCTTGTGAATCATCTGTTTTAAATCTCCCTTGTCTCCATAAGGTTGCACAAGGAACAGTTCTGGGAAATGTCCACAGAAACTGTGATCTCTTTGATTAGAGCATACATGTATTAGTACTATTTAACACTAGCAAAAAGAATGAAAGAATGAATGAAGTCTCATACTTTACTTACTTTTTAATACCGAGGTGCAAATGTGCTTAAGTAAAAAGGGAAAAATCCTCTCACGAGGAATGAGAGATGTGTTTCTTCGTGTGTGTTTTCACACAGAGGTCATTGTGGCTGGCTTCACAAAGTGCAATGCACAATGCAGTTCATTACTGGTGACCTTAAAAACTCATCTGGGAAAGTACATTGCCAAAAAAAGATGTGAAGAAGACTTGATGAAATAATCTTAGTTGAATTTAGCACTTAGCAGTTAGGGATATGCTGTTTGCAAGCATTTCAGCAGCGCAGATAAGCTTTACCTGTCTTTTCATACCATTTAATCAGAAGGATTTAACTAATTCCATTCATACGATACAATCCTGTTGATATTTTTGGTCTAGAGCCTAGACAGAGGCAGTCATTTGGGTGGCAAAAAGAGAATTCCTGAATTCCTCTATTTTTTTCCCCCTATTTACTTTGCAAAGGGGCTGGAATTAACACTATTTTTAGACCCCTTTGCCATGGTGTGCACTTAAGCCCAGTTCTGCTGATGCAGTGCAGAGCTTCAGCAGAGGAGCTGTTCCTGGTGCTGGAATGGATCTTGGGCTGTCTTTTCCAGCCTTTGCCGCAGGGGCCCCACATGCACATCAGAGCTTTTGTTTCACTACAGGCAATACCTTATCCAGGTTATTTTTTCTTTTCTATTTTTTTTTCTTTTATTTTTTTTAATGGTATCTCTAATAAAAATTCGATGGCTCTCAGAATCAAGTGATCATTTTTGAAACCATGAGCTGCACCTAAGCATTTCTCAAAGTTTCTCTGGTAACTGATGGCTTTTTTATTGCATCCATAAATATGTATTTGATCATTCACACTGCATATGGTGATACTGAGTGACCTCATTTGGACTTTCCTGAACTTCTGTATGTGTCACCACAGTGCTGCTTTCATAGGCTTTTCTGCAATGGGTTGTTGTGCTTTCTTCTGTAGAGGTGTGATACCAATGAGCAGCATGCGTGCATATCACATCTGCCTATTTAGGACAAACTGTAGATGCTTTAACTGAGATTATGGGATGCCACAACATGATAAACTTTTATTATATTGTAGCATCATGACTATCGAATGTATTCTGTGAGGCTCAAGGACTTAACATGCAGAAGTTTGAACTCAGGTGTCATAATGGCAAAAAAATTATTGCTATTATTTGCTTTTACAGATTTAAAAAAGAATTTGTTGAGGGAACTACAAGACTTAATTTTTATCTTTGCTGAAAAACTTAATGCAGTTAAAAAAACCAAGCTATGTTTGGCCATCACGTTGTAGAATAACTGAGGCTGAAAGAGCCCTCTAGGATCAATAAATCCAGTTGTTAACCCAAACCCATGTCTGAACCATGTCCCTCAGCACCACATCTACACAGCTTTAAATACCTTCAGGAGTGCTGACTCCACCACTTCCCACAGCAGCCTGTTCCAATGCCTGACCACAGTTCCAGTAAAGAATTTTTTCCTAATACCCAATCTAACCCTTCCCTGGTGCAGTTTGAGGCTATTCCCTTTCATCCAGACAGTTCTTACCTGGGAGAAGAGACCAACCCCCACCTCACTGCACCCTCCTTTCAGGAAGATCCCTCCTGAGCCTCCTTTTCTCTGGGCTAAACCTCCTCAGTTCCCTCAGCCACTCCTCCTTTGTGCTCCACTCCCTTCACCAGCTCCGTTGTCCTTGTCTGGACTTGCTCCAGCACCTGAATGTCCCTCTTGTATTGAGGCCCAAAGAGCTGGACACAGGATTCAAGGTGCTATCTCACCATAGTGGGTATTACCTGAGTGCAAGGTTATGGTGTTACATTAAAAGATTATCCTTTGGTATATCATCCACCTCTGTACTAAATTTTGCAAGAAACACATTCCCCTTGTGGCGTGTTTTTCAGAGGTACAGGTAAGTAAAAATGTCCACGCACACTGATGAGCACTTGGCACAGCTCTTCCAGGAGATACCACTCTGTGGCTCACTCCTCACATGCTTTTATGACCAACAGTTTAGGATAGAGAGTCTTAAGTCTGTAATATGGTATTTATAACCAAGGCAGGTGCAAATGTGTGTCAAAAAGTTAATAGAAAATGCTCATAGAAAGGCAAGAATCCCCACCAGTGCAGGTTGTACTTAAGCTTTGGTATGGGGTCTGCCAGCTCCTGTCAAGTCTGTGATAGGAAGACTTTGATGTTAGGAGCCTCTGATGTTTCCTAATCAGAGGCAAAAGGTGCATGTGCCAGTATCTGAGTAAATGTGGACTTCAGTTTTTCTGACTAGTGGACAGTTTTAATTAATAGAACATTTTTTTCCTTGACCTGTAACTTATGGCCACTGTCATGGAATCTGAATTAAACAAAACCTGAACAGTTTTTTTCAAGTCAGTTATTTTATAGATAGGCAAGTACTGGGAGGAAGCTGATCTCCAAAGCAATACCTCATATCCATCAGAGAGAAAGGCCAAAAGGGAGGTTTTGAAATATTGTATGGATGGGAGTTTTAAATCTTTTCTTTACTATAGATTTTTACTACATTTTTGGGTCTGTTGGGAACATAATTTACATATTTCCTCACAAATGTTCTTACTAATCCCCGAGTCAATGCTGGTGAGATGCACTTCTCATTGAAACATTAATTTATAAAACCAAAAGTGTATTAAAAGGCAACATTTAGAGGAAGCCTGAGTAGAAACATTGTGAAGGAACAGATAACTTCTTCTCCTGACATTATCACATCATTCAAGCTGCAGTTGTCAACCCTAATGAAAGGTGGTGATGCTGATTTGAGCATATTGCTTATGTGATGTGCAAGAGCTTTGGGAGATAAGGAATCCCTGGTGCTATCATTTATAATTAAAGTGTCCATCACTTGCCTCTGAAAAACTGCTTGACGAATAAATAATTAAAGATCTGATTCTGATAGACTTAGTTGAAATGAGACTTCTGAGAACAGTTCAAAAGCAGCAAATGGAATTTCTTCAAAGTAAGGCTTCAAGATAAATAATAGTATTACAATCTCAGTCAAAGCCAGTTCTTGTTTATTGAGGCAGGAGGGTATTCTGGTTTATGCGCTTTAAAATCTAATCTCACAGGCATCTTAAACTTCCTGCTTGCAAACAATGCCTGATGATGTCTATCATTTTATCTTTTAAGCACAGTATAAACTGGTATTAAAATTAATGGCTAGCGAACTGTTCCCTGCTTTTTCAGACAGCCAAAGATAAGTTGTCTGTCTCATGTTTTGTGCAGCTTGGAAGCCTTTATAAAGTGATATGCTACCTAAAGAGTTTTTTTACTTGCAAATATGTGTATTTTATACAGAATTTTTCTTTGGTTGTTTCACTGAATTGATGTTTAAAAGAATGGTTATGCTAGAATGATGTTTGTTTTCATAGTTCCTAAAATAATCGAGAGGTTTGAGGGGAAATTTTTTGAACTACGGCTTATTTCATTGTGTTGCAGAAATAACCATGCTCCCATTAGAGTCCAGATAACTTGCATATTGTAGCTCTGCGAGTCCCTCGCGGTGTTGGCAGGGATTGGTTGATTTGGTGCCTTAAGATTAACCTTTCACTACCGCATGCGTATGTTTGTCATTTATCCCCTTTTCCTCAGGTGCAAAGAGGGCTACCAAGGAGTCCGCTGTGACCAATTTTTGCCGAAAACCGACTCAATCTTGTCAGATCCAAGTACGTCAAATGTTTTTCTTCTATTTCCAATCCGTGCTGGAGGCTGCTCTTGCCATGTGAGATGACCCTTTGCCTGTAGTCAGACAGTCCCTGCAGCTGTGCGTTACGAACAGCGATGCTCTTGTCGGTAGGGTAAAACCACGTCATCCAGTCTGTTCTTGTGAAACATGTGCTGCTCCAGCAGGGCACATGATTCCTTATAGTTTGGAATAATATTGTCCCTGCTTAGAGCCAAAACATTTGTGTTTCTCTACATAAAATTACGTCATCTAAAAGGAAACCCTTTATAGAGTGCAAAGTGGTCCTTCAAAAGGAAATAAATGCACATGGTGTGGCACTGAAGAGATTATAATCTCCTTGGAAACAGTTTGTATCAGTTTACATGGAAGTTAATTATTTTTCACTTTGACAAGTGATTTGTTGTCTATTTGCATAAAAAATAAATAATAAAGATGTACTTTCAGGTAGTACTATGGAGACAAAGTAACTTTCTATTACACTGGCCACTGCATGTCAGAATAACATCTGCCACTGTTTCCCTTTCTAAATTCTCTTGACTAATAAAACTATGCCAAAAATATTATCCAAGATGAATTTTTTGAAGGTGAATCCATTTAATTATGCTTATCTTGCATTTTTTAATGAAGTGACGTACAACAAAGGGTCATATCCAATCTCTTGGTTTTGTTCATATACCTGGAAACTGTAACATATTAAGTCTTCTGGTTTTGGGTACTCTTTAAAATTAGATTTTAGTTGTTTTGGTTTGGTTTTTTTTTTGAAGAACAATGCTTGTTTTTCTAGTCTTTGTGCTTTTTAATTTATTTTCTTGTGCTTTTCCATGTGAAAACCTGTTTCCAAAGGCACCTGTTGCTTTGTAGCTCTCTGTGTTGTGGAGCTCTCATTATGGTTTGCTTTGTGTTTGGTTTATTTTCACCTTAGCTTGACCTTTAATGGTAAAGTGCAGAGCTTGTAGTGAGCAGGCTGATTTTACCTCAGCCAAGTTTTATGTGCATGTGCCAGGACAGAAGCTGTGTATATGTCAAAGAAAAAGGTAGTTTGTATCCTAGAAATGTGGGAAAGGGCAGTTGATTAACAGCAGGACAGGGTGGTACCTAACCTGGTTTTCACAGGGGATTCTGGCTTTACTCTCTCAAGAGTAGAGGTTAAATCTGTGCAGATTCAACACAAAGCCCAAAAAAGGGTCCCAGATTAGGCTGCATCTAGCAAGACCAAAAGCCCCATAGTGTTTATCTGGTCCAGACACCAGTTTTGGTTTTTCCTTTGTGTTGGTTGCACAGACTTGCTTCTCTTTATCAGGAGATGCTTACTCTAGTTGAGTTCTGGCTGGATTGTTTCCAGAGCATTTTTCAGCCACATGACAGTGAGGCTAAGTGCTGCTGAAACATCCTTTTTATACCTTCTGAAAACAAAAACGATTTTGTTATTTTGTTGAGATTTTCTTCCAAATTATATTATTTGGAGTATATAAGGAGTGGGGGCTTTGGCTTGACATTTTCATGGATCCACTGGACACACCCATGGCCAAAAGGAGCCTCTCTTTTGGTATGAGTGAAGGTTAACATGAGTTAGGTACGTTTCTAGTCAGTTTTGAAATTTAACTTGTATTTGATCTTTGTCTGTTTTGAAAAGAGGAAAAGACAGGACCAGTTCAGGTCCCTTTCTGTGTGCTGGCATAATGTGATATATCTCAGTGTACATGTGTGCACATGCACTTGTTCTAAGGATGTCAAGCCTGGAAGGAAGATAATTGAACTTTCTGCTGCAGCTGGGCAGTGACAATATTTTGTTCAGGAGTTAAATCAGTAATGTAGTTATCTTCCCTCTGGTGAGAGAAAAAAAATGAATACCACGCTGATAAGTAGCACTCCATGGCAGAAGTGTTTGTTATTTGCATAACCTGAGGAGTGTAAAAAGTATTTGACACAGTAGTCAAGCACAGTATTATCATCTTCAAAGGCTCTGGGTTTGCACTGCCAAAACTTAGGTTTGTGGTTGAATGTGTTTGGATTAGAAAGAGAATGGCTGAAGGGTGAATTTGGAGGTGGCTTCAAAAATAAGCGATTTTTTTAATGCAACACTCAGTTTCTGAAAGCTGGAAAATCAGATGAGGGCTCCTTTGTCTGGGCTGCAATAGGCAGCCCTGGCTGGCGTCAGTCAAGCTTTATGAACAAGTCCAGCACATCTGATTTTCATGGGATTGCTTAGGGTGTTCCTGGTGGTGAATGTGCTGCTGATGACACATCTGTTAACATTTAGCATATTTGAAGTTTGCTTGCATGAAGTACTGAAGCAATGTTTTTGTTTACATTGCCTATGATACCACAGGTTGTATTTCCAGAATATACCCTTGTCATGACTGGGAAGTGAATCTGCACCAGTCACTTGGTAAATAGCAACAATTTTGTTATAGAATTGTTACTTATGTACATGGGCCAAAGCATCTTGATTTTTTTGGTCTGTGTTTTCTTATGTTCTTTTTTAAGTAGCCTGCTAAAACAAACCAGGCTTGTTCAGCATAGCTATTATCTGCATATTATGTGCATAGTGGAAAATAGTGTGTTATGGCCCTGCAATACTTTTAACACCAACTTCTTACCTCATTCTAGATGTATGTTAGGCAGGTCTTGACTTTGCATCACAGATATTAATACAAATTATGTATTACTTAATTTGGATTAATGCATGCTAGATCACGTACATGTAGTTTAATTCAACTAACTGATGAAGGTATTTAAAATTCTTTTGTCAGGAAGCACTCTTGAAACTTCCTGGTGGTGTTTCAGAGTTCCTGAATTGGCATCCATGCCTTGCCGCCTGCTACCTTCCTTCAGCTCAAAGATAGGACAGTGTCAAAACACTCCAGGCACAGGCTCTATGACTGGACATTTAAGAATCACAGGTGTAACAGCTTCCACTTCCCTTAATATCTCTACTCTTGACAAGGTTTTCTGGCTGTAAGAGAAAGTTGTTTAAAAAGAATCTGAAACGATCCAAACACAGGTAGTTTGAGAAGTTTGGTAATCTTGGAATATGAGAGAAACTTGCCTAAACCGTGGGAGCCTCAGACATGTGTGAACCTAACAAAATAATAATGTCAGCAGTAGGGGAAAAGGCTGCATGGCAGAGCCACCCAGGCTCACAGTCTCCGTCAAGAGAAGGAAATCTATCAGCCATGCTCACAGTGTGCAGGAGAAGTCCCTGAACTCTCTCTCTGTCATCTCCTCCATTATATGGAGGAAATAATAATGGGACAAAAAGAACAGAAACAGCAGTCACATGCTGGGAGGAAGGTATATTTAGAATGTTACTTCAGCTTTCTTTGTGTGGGCTACCTCCTCTGTAAATACAGCTAACAGCAACGGTAGAACACTTCTATTTTCAGCATTTTAAGTACAACCTTAATACAACTTTATGCACAATAAATTTTTCTGTAGCCCTATGTGTATCTGTAGGATTGGAAACTTATTTATGACATGAATTGTAGAAATGTACTCCTGTACTATCCTTTATAGTGTTCAAGAATAGACCTGCCTAACCCAATGGCTCCTGAAAGGTAAGTTGCATGTAGGCTGCAGATATTTCTTTTAATCTGCTTTTATACTGAGGCAAAGTAAAACCTTTAAAGCTTTGACTGTTCTGTGGGCATATTCCAAAGTGAGGAATGAGGCATTGAAAATGAGTTTATGACCTTACCTCATTTTACCAAATTGCTCCTTTTCACCTACAAGTATTTTGTAGATGAAAATACTAGAGAAAGCTACTTTTCTATGCAAACTGTGTATTTCAATTTTGCAGTGTTCAGTATTAATTTTTTTACTCATCATATTAACATTCCCATTTGTCCCATTTGACTCAGAAGCTTGTGTAACGAGGGATCCCCTATCAAATATTGGGAATGTTATCCAATCCTTCTGCAGAATAAATGCATTATTTCCTAGAAGAATAAAATTGGGCTGGGAAGCTTATAGGTCACTAGGCCATGCTCCTGCTGTTGCAGTCAACCCCATCACATAATTTCTTCTGTAATCTGATCATACTTCACTCATAATCTGTGTGAACCAGCCACCAGAAACAGAGTTTGTTTAGCATCCTGTTCTGAGGATTTCAAGACTTTTCATCTTCCAGGCAAAACTTACAGCAAAATGTGTCAATTTTTTGTGATTTGTTAAAGTGCTTCATTTCAACTTTGATTTTTTTTTCTCTTGGTTTCCATGTTGTTATGTTCAAGCTTTGTTAAACTGGCTTTTTCAAATGTCAAAAGTCTTCTTCCTACTGAGTGAGCTGTAGCCTGTGGTCTTCCAACACTTTAACCTGTGAAACATGGCACACATGTTTCTCTTTGAATCTCATCAAAGAGAAAACCTGCAAGTGTCATATCTGGAACCTGCAGTTGCTCATTCTTAGATTACTGTAGCAAAGGATCAAACTCCCTCTTCTGGAAGACTGGGACTGTAGATAAGAAAAAACAACTATAGCTAGTTACAAATGAAAAAATGTCTTTCCAAAAATGTATTAAAACTCCCAAGACCCCCACTCATGTCCTCAAAAAAAAAAAAAAAAGAAAAAGAAAAAGCTCCCCAAGAAAATCAGCAAGAATCTTAGGCATTTTTAGGCATTTCATTATTTAATACTATTTTTTATTCCCCCTAGTTAGTTTTGTGTATGTAAGATTATAGGTAATTGGATAATTTATGTTGAAAGAGAAGTGTGGAGAACTCAGGAAGTTCAGCCTCCTGCTTTAAGCAGACATGGCTTTGAAGTCTGTGCTACTGCACTGGACACTACAAAGGTTTTTTGCAAGGGGCATATTAAATAGAGGATGAAGAGCATCACTGTTGTGAAGTACTCTAAAATATATTTTCAAATAATTTGAATACATAAAATGAAACTTGTGCCCCTCACTGAATGACTGATTTTCTAGGGCCTGAATAATTTTTTTGTTAAATCTACTTAACCCTTCTGAATTTGTCAGAGTT